ATCCACTGCCAGCACCACTTCGGTTGCCAACGTCTTCACGAAGAGTAATACAACATCCGCTATGACAACGACCGCTAGAACCGCTAGCACTAGAACTAATACGACTTCCACTTCCTCCACTGCTGGAGCAAATACGACTAGTACAACATCAGTTACTAGAGTCACAACTACTACGACCACATCTGGCATCACAAAAACAACCATGCCCGCCACTACCACTACTACAGCCACCACCTCTCCAATCACTAGAGTCACTACCACTACCGCTACATCCATCGTAATGAAAACCACTACAACGACCACGTCTACATCTGCAGTCACTCGAGCTGCCACAACTACCACAACTTCTGCCGTCACTAAAACCACGACAGCCGCTACAGCAGTGCTAACTAGAGCTACGACAACCACGTCTACTCTCACGAAAACCACTACAACTACCGCATTCGTCATTTATACCAAAGCGACTACAACCACCACGGCTACATCGCCAATCACTAAAACCACTACAGCTACCACTTCTGCTATTACCAGAGCCACTACCATTTCCACCATCACTAGAGCCACCACAGCGAGCACCACCTCCACCACTAGCGCCATGACCTACGTGTACCCGTCCATCGTCGAGCTGGTGGTGGGAGGTCCCACAGACGCGACCTCCACCTGGCACTCGTCCTGTCCCCCGGACACAGCTGTCTCCGGCATGGCCCAGTCCAACCGCACCCTGCGCTTCATACGCTGCACGCCACTGCCTGCCGGGGTCACCCTGGACTCAGCCGCCGTCCAGGTGGTGAGCCACTCCACGTGGAGCGACACACTCGTCTGTCCGGCAGGGTCGGTGGTGACCGCCCTCGGCTGTCCGGCCGACCCGACGTCGCAGATGACCTGGGAGCAGCCGTTCCGGGCGCGTCTGCTGCGCTGCGTCGCGCTGGTGCCGCGGCCGTCCTGGAGTTCCGACACCTGCAGCCTGCTGACGCTGGCGGCCTCCCAGCTGGACACCAGGGCCGGCTGTCCGTACGGCAGGCTCTTCATCAGCCTCCACGTGACACCGAGGGCTGGTCCGTCAAGTGCTGCCTCACCTAGACGGACAGGCGGACGGACGGAATTGGAGGGAGGGTAGCCGGCCGGACGGAATTGGAGGGAGGGTAGCCGGCCGGACGGCGAGTCCGAGCCGCGGCAGATAGCAGCACGCTGGTGCGATGTAGCTCCATGTCCTCTTCTCTCCGTTTGAATGAAGCCACATCCACTCAGCAAGGTCGGATGTAGAAAGGTGTGTAGATGTAAATTCATGTAATCCCGTTTAGCATTTGCGGGACAAGAGAGGTCTGACACTCGGGCAGGCTCGGCCGAGTGTGATCGTCCATTAATTGTAACACGATCGATGCTTAGGTATGTTGGAGAGCCTTCGGCTTGTAATTTGCTGTATCGGCACAATGGTTGTGGAAAAATACACGAACGATCTGCATGAGTGTTGTATTTTGGGATGAAAGGGTTACTCTTAACTGCTATATTCAATTAACCCTCGCCGGACCTATTGGTTTTCTACATACGCGCAAGTCGAGGGGGTACGACCCCCCTCACCCTTTCATTCCTGGTGGAGCTAGCGCGTCGCGGAAAAGACGAGCGTGTGCGCCGTTACGAGACGCAGAGGTTGATACCCGATTTTAAGGTCCTAGGTCAACCGGTGACTCTGAGGTCAGGTTAACCCTATTAGTGGCAGCCCTATTAGTGGCAGTTGTTTTAATCCACCCCTCAGGTTTTTCGGGAATATCGCCGAAACCGCTGAAGCTACGATGCTGAAATTTTCTGACTTTTCCTAAAACTAAATTGGGCACATTCCCTGAAAATTTCAAGTTCATAACTTTACCAGGGGCGGCTCCAGAGCACTAGGAATTGGGGGGTCCTATTCGTGAAGCGAGTCATTTGGGCGAAGATCACGATGCTGATGTATTATAACTGTATGCACCAGTTTTACGAACAGTGAATGAAAGGTATCATGTGATAACATATACAAAGTTATTGTGCATCCTCTTTTGACACGTTTTTGCTATACCCAGCAAACATGCCCACATGGGTCCCATATGGGGTGAACATGGGCCAGATGGGCCCACGTGGGACATGGGCTACAGATGGGCTACCCATATGGGCCCCATATGGGATAAAAATGGGCCAGATGGGCCGCAAACGCATGTGGGCTGGAGATGGGCATCCCATGTGGGTCCCATATGGGGTGAACATGGGCCAGATGGGCCCACGTGGGACATGGGCTACAGATGGGCTACCCATATGGGTCCCATGTGGGCGCCGCGTGGGTCCCATATGGGGCCTACGTGGGCTGACCCATATGGGTCCCACGTGTCACCCACTGCCATTCCCATGTGGGACCCATATGGAAGAGGTGGGGGGCCCATGTGGGCCCCATATGGGAACCATGTGGGCATGTTTGCTGGGTAATAGGCGGATCCAGGTGTACAAAAAGAGGGGTTATGTTTTACCTCCCAACATAGGTGCCCTGACACCGCCTATGCATGACCAATACAATTGTAGTCGCTCTCTCATAAGAAAATTGTAACATAACATTAAGACCATTACCACCCTTTTTAGAAACAGTACCAACAAAAACCTTATTTACTATATTTTTTGTGTACCTACCCCCAATCTCAATGATCTGTATCCGCCTATGATTTTTGAAAATGCATATTTTTAGGATCCATGTGAATTCCTGGTTCATTCTCTATCGATCGGCAAAAGTTGCGTTAAGATTGGTTCAGAAACCTGGCCGTGATAAACAGTCTAAAATGTATCTGCAATTTGCCCGTTTTTACCCCCCTCTACCCCCCCCCCCCCCCTATTGCCATTTTTTAATTTTTATTTTTTAGAAATGTAGATCACGTTGAGCGAAATCGAATGCCGTTTGAATTTTGAAAATCGGCCCGTTAGATCTAGAGATATCAGGGGGGGGGGTCCCCCCCTCTACCCCCCCCCCTATTGCCATTTTTTAATTTTTATTTTTTAGAAATGTAGATCACGTTGAGCGAAATCGAATGCCGTTTGAATTTTGAAAATCGGCCCGTTAGATCTAGAGATATCAGGGGGGGGGGGTCGTAAACAGCCCCCCTGCCACTAATAGGGGTAGCCAGGAGCCTGCCACTAATAGGGTTAAAGGAAATAGTTCACTTTTTAACATGGGTTTTGAACTGGAATAGCAGTTCCGTAGCTTGGGCTGAGACGAGCATAAATCAGGAGCTTTTACAGCCCAACGATCACCCTAGGCAAAGATATTCTATTTCTCGTCCCGAAAAAGGTGTCTTGCGTTGAGGATGTGTGCCTTGCATATATTTCCATCCAGTATGAAAAGAGCATGGGTCCCGAAAATTCTTCAGAAACTAGAGAAATTATCTACGAGAACTCTAGAGAAATTCTCGTACTGATCAATTAGGACATTCAGGGGAACATTATCAGATCGAGCAGATCGCCCAAATGCCGGTGGCTGCGATAATTTCTCTGTTTCTGAAGAATTTTCGGGACCCATGCTCTTTTCATACTGGATCGCGTGTGCCTTACAGAAACTGAAAAGTTCTTCCTATATCAAAATATAGAAAAAAAATCTTTTGTTACAAAAAGGTTTTATTTTCTTTGCTGATTATTTTGAACATAAAAAATCATAAATCGTTGCAAAAAAAATAATTTCGTGAAAGTGAACTATTTCCTTTAAAGGGACCCTCCCACCTTCAAAAAAGTTAATGAATTGGCATGAAAGTGATGTCGCTCGGTTCAGAAAGAGCAAAAATGAATATCTACCAAATTTCATCGAAAAATATCCACCGGTTTTCAAGATATTAGACTTTTACTTTTGTTTACTTTTTGGGATCTCCGCTGTTCCTAGCGACTTTATTTGAAAGTGCGGCATTTGTTGCGCGCAAAGCAGCATATACCACCGCGTGCTGCCAAACGTTTTAGTAAAAGATTTAAAAATCGTTAGATCTCCGCTGACGTCACAAATTCTAAGGGGGCATACCAATGCATTAGCCCCTTAGAATCCGAAAACTGCAAGTTTGAAATTCCATATCTCCGAATTAAAGCATTTTTCGATGTTGTGAATGCCCAAACCGGTATTTTCAGGCCATGGCCACCAATTTGGCTATCTCAACTCAAAACTAATGTTAAGGTGGGAGGGTCCCTTTAAGTGCCCCAAGCTATGGTTCCGTTTTTGGTGCATAACTTCGCAAAACACAAACGGCCGCAGAGCCGCAATTTTGGCAGCATCGCGTTCGCCTCGCTCATGCGCGTCGAATGATAGGTATACTTTTTGTTTGGGTGGTCACAGTCAGGTCAGCGCCCCCAGGTCATGAAATTGGTCAAAAGAGGTCATATCGCATATCATTTGATTCATCAGGTCTTCCTGAGTGCACTGGTGGCTTTCCCGACTCGCTAGCTCAATTCGATCGGGAGTTATTGAGTTTGACGAAAAACTAATATGACCCTGATGACGCCATGAATGACGTCACGCAAGGTAAACATTGCAAAAAAGACGCATCTAACCTTGCAAAGAGTGCATCAAATCACGATTCTGTGTGTTTGATATTGTTGGAGATCGTTCCGTTCCCGGCGCCAGAATAGCAGTTTTCATTTTTCCCATTGACTTATAATGGTGAGGTCACGAAAATGACCTGACCTCAGTCCGGAGGTGAAAAACAACGTCCCTTGCAATGGGTATAGGGTTTAACTACGCGAGTCTGTGGTAAAAAAAGCTTCGCATTGAGATACAAGTAAGCTACGCTAGCCATATAGGAAGATGCACACACTGATGATTGATATGGTATCAGCAGTCAGCGATCACCACATCTTTCGCTATATCGGTGCCAACAGCGCCAAGCGATGCGGGAACTGCGCGAAGCTGAGGTTCCCTTACCGCCGGCAGATGTCTCTGCGCGTCGGTCGCGGGGCGGCCCTACGTCAGCGGCAGCCACCTGTTGGCGGTCACGGACCGGCGCCGGCGGCAGTCGGGGTGCCGGACCGAGCAGCGAGGTGTGTGCGTGTGTGCGAGCTGTGTCCGTACCGAGAGCCGAGTACGCCCGCGAGGCGCTGCAGGACCCCGGAGAAAGGGGAGCGGAAAGCTCACCGTCGCTGCCGCCCACTGAGCTGCGTCGGTACAAACAGAGGTGAGTGTCTGTAGCGGCGGCGCCGGCCGGGCTGGGCGGCGCGGAGGGCTATGACCCGCCGTTCCGGCTGGGTGCCTCCGGCGGACGCGGCTGGCACCGGCCGGTGCAGAGCTGTCCCGCCCTGCCCGCTCCTCTGCAGGTCAGGTCAGCGTCGATCCCAGACCCCAGCACAGTCTCCCCACCGAGATGGGGCGCTGGTTCGGTCACAGAGTCACCGGATGGCCGGCGGCGGCACCGAACGACGCTCCGCAGCCGCCGGGAAAGTCGGCTCGGCCTGAGAAACTGTCCCCGCAGCTGGCGTGCCGGTGGGAGGGAGGGAGGGAGGTGGGGAGGGCAGACGGTCTGCCGGTCCGGGCACTTCCTGTGGGCGCGGTCTGCCGCTCCGGGCCGGCACCGGCTGCCATACTGGTACTGGATGGATGCCTCAGATCTGCTGGATCCGCCGAGTGGCTCCAGGGCGACCCAAAGCTAGCAATGGCTCCAGTGACATCCCACCTGACTCTGGCTTTGAAGGTCCGGGCAGCGACCTACATTCTGACACGTTTAGAGTGTTCGGGTCCGGCGTCGAGGCACCCAGCTGCCTATTTGGAAGTGGCAGCTGCCCTCGTGCAGCCCTAGCTACCTAACTGGAGTATTCCCTGCTCTTCAGCACCCCAAACTGCCTACCTGCAGTCTCAGCTGCCCGCCGTCAGCCCCATCACTCCCCCTGCACCCCCCCCCCCCCCCGACCTTCCGTCCAGCCGAGCGGCCCGTCCACAGCTGACCGTCTCGGGAGTCTCCGACAGTCGCCGGCCGCACTCGTCGGGCTTCCCACGTCCGTGTGTGCTATGGAGTGCAGGCAGAGGACGGGAGGAGGGGAGAGAGGGAGGGAGGAGGGCGACGCGCCGCTCCGACAATTATCCGGCGTCACGCTTCACTGTGCAGACGGTATGGTTTCTCCCTCTACGTCGGTCGATCGGTCCAGTTTCCTCTCCGATATAGCCCCAGAGCGGTAAACAAGAGAGTAATTATTGAGCTGAGAGGGACCTTACTGGCCCGTCTCCTCTACATGTCTCCTACGTGCGAACTGCGGAGCGTGGAACATTTGTTCGTGGAGGGCGAGGACGGACAGGGATGCGCGCAGGGATGCGCTCTGCGCTCCGACGTGTCCTGCCTGGGAATATCGTGTTTTGCCCGACTTCACGCTTTTCTTATGGCGTGTTATCATCTTCGCTCTCGTTTCTCTTCGGTAAACCGGTTCTGTCGAATGTGGGACATCATCGACATTCTACATAGGGATTTCTTTTTCTCCGGTACGGATGTGCTCCTCTTGATGATCTTAATTTGATTGGGATGTTCCAAATTGATATTAATTGATCATTACCCGCCAGCTTTTTTAGACTCTACAGGGAGGGCAGTTACACGCTATAGGGTTTAGACTACCGTCGCTACAGGCCTCCGTTTTTTTTTCAAGCCAACATCCATTGCCAACATCGGATTAAATGAGTAGTGCTTTTCCAATCCAAGATTGTCGCCCTCTACTCTTCCTTTATCTCTCTCTCTCTCTCTCTCTCTCTCTCTCTCTCTCTCTCTCTCTCTCTCTCTCTCTCTCTCTCTCTCTCTCTCTCTCTCTCTCTCTCTCTCTCTCTCTCTCTCTCTCTCTCTCTCTCTCTCTCTCTCTCTCTCTCTCTCTCTCTCTCTCTCTCTCTCTCTCTCCTCCATCTCCTTTTAGTCCGGTTTCTGGACCCCGGGAGCACATTCCTAGCCTGGTCACAGCACGTGGCAGGTCCGGTCCAAAAACAGGTCCAATCGGACCTCTCCTCAGCTGGTCAGAGGAGAAACGGCCGCCCACATTCCGACCTCCTCACGACGAACGTCCTTTCCGCGCGTGCTTACAAACTAGGGAGGAAAACTCCTCTACCAAATGCTCGGTAACATGTCGTTTACCTACTAAGACCGACGCATCTCGTCTCTTTGCTGACGGTGAGTCCGATATGGAAGTCAAAGTTGTCACACTTATCATCTCGGCACACGATTGTCGGCTTTTTTTAACGTTTCTTTTGCACGACATTATGTCATGTCACAGTAGTTAAAAAGTGGGACCGCTGAGAGCTGATTTTAAACAGTAAACAGTAAAAAACAGGATTAGGCTAGGGGTACCATTGGCTTCAGTGAGACACACTCCACTAGTGAATCAAGGTCGAGGTCATTTGTATTTCTTTGACTACCAATGACGCATCTCACTATATATTTATCGTTGAGCATTGAAGTGCATTGTCGAATGTTTCACCGTCTCTTTGTTAATAAAATATGGAGCAAATATTTCAAGCCTGACTGAATGACGTTTAATTTAAGCATTCCTGACAAGATATATTCGACCTGCCCGTGCACAAAAGTTCGTTTGTTAGCATCAGCGGTTACTTATCAATCTGCTAATCGATATTTCTCCATGAAGCGATATTTCTTCATTATACCAAATCAGAAGCCCGGTACGGGCCGGGCTGGGGAGGGGTGGAAACCCAGCTGGGGAGGGGTCTGAAGTCGCTCAGTGGCCGATCAGAGTCCCCCAGGAGCCGGCAGTCCCCCTCCCCCTCCCCCCGGCGCAGATAGGATGCCGATCCCGGCCTATCAGACATGTGATGACGTCAATAAAGGCCAGTAACGGCTGATATGACGACCCCTCTGACGGTCAGCGAGCGAACAGTTTCTGATTGGAGACCAGATGAAGGCACTCTAACATGCAAGATGTTATAGAGCCAGCCTTTGGGATGATAGTGTGCTTTATAAAAAAACGGTCATCTATTCAATGCATTGCTAATTGCACCCGTAATTACCTATGCGAAAAGTAATTGACCCCGTAACAGTCAAAGCTTAGTACAATGTCGCAGCTCGTTACTCAATCCGAGGCAGAGGGCGGGGGAGGTGACAGAGGCCGGGGATGGCAGAGGGCAGGAGGAGGTGACAGAGGGGCGCGATATCGCTCGCCGGGGATCAGCGGACCGATTACACGTATCGTGGTGGCCGTGACGCCGGTCGAAAGATACCGGCCACCCGCGGACGGCTCAGATACGGCAGATACAGGGCAGATACCGGACGTCCCGCAGGCAGTTCGGATACTGTAGATACCGGGCGGATACCTACTGGGCCGACGGCTTAGATACAGCAGATGAGGACCCTACAGACGGCCCAGATACAACACATACTTATCATCAGATACCGGACGTAAGGCTCAGATACAGCTTATATCGGCTAGGACAGATGTCGGCCGCACATTCACAGGATGACTTGCCAGATTCGTCGATCGGTTCGTCGGTCCTTTAGCTGTGTTGCTGGTAGACTTGGGTCGAACAGCGTAAGGACACTGATGAAAAACAATCATTTGCTGACGACCAGCAGCTAACGCTCGATAGCTGCTCTCAAATCCGAGAAGTTGACCCGAAGTCCCATCCAACCGAATTATCGGGCTCAGGGAGCTGACAGCCACTCCAGTAAAACCCTGAAGATCAGCCAAGTTGATCCGATACGCATAGTGCGCTGTTTTATCAGGGCCAGGGTGCTGTCTGAAGGTTCCTGACAGTGACTATGAACGGCTATCGGGCTTCGGGCTTCTCTCTCTCGGCCGCCAACCCTGCCGCCGCGCCGCCTCGGGGTCGAGGTGCGGTTAGCGTTCTGTTCCAGCGCTGCGGTCGCCAAACCTCCCTCCCCTCCCAGTCCCCAATCACGATCAGCCGACCGACGCGAAGGTGCTGCGGTGGCGGGGCTGTAATAACGCTCGCTGGCACCTGGCGCACACTGTCAGGGGACATTTTTGTTTTGTTGGGTTAGGCCCTTTCGGTCGACAAGACCATTGCAGAGCCGGAAGGATGATAGGAATTAGGGGGTGACATTGGTCTGGGCAGGCACCCTAGTGAGTCGCCGGGGCTGAGCCCGTCCAGAGGACAGGCCACCCAGCCCCAAGGCACTCACTGCACCCGGCTACGGGGTGGGCTCCCTCAGGAGCAGCGGTGCCGCTCCAAGGGAGCAGCCCGCATGAGATAAAGTTGCCTGTCCAGCCCGGAGGGGGGTTGCGGCTTGGAGGAGAAGGATTTCAGTATACTGAGGATAGAAGCACGGATAGGTGTCAGGGGACAGGAAACCGGGCGGATTTCTGGTCGAAGCTGCATGGAGGTGGTATACCGCCAGGGTATATTGTATAGCGCCAGAAAGGCTGAATTCAGTCCATACCCGTTACCCATGTTGTAATGCTACTTGGTTAGCGTATCTTGACTCGAGTATCGATGAGAGTGAAGTATCTCTTCCTACGTTAATCTGCTATGTGCCTTAGTACCAGCACACCTAATGGAGTGAATCAGTCAATGAATGATTGACGGAAGAACGTTGAGTAGTAGGAATTAACCTTTGTTCCGACGCGATGACCACCGGTAGCTTTATGACCAGCAGAAAGGCTGCAGCTCTCTGCAGCCTTTCTAAGCTATGAGCACAAATCTCATGACTCAAGAGCCGAGATCTACATTATGTAGAACTCAGGTCGATCAGACTCACGCAGGAACAGGTGGGCGAGGAGAGAGGGTCGGAGGGAGAGAGGGATAGGGGAGGGTAGCCGGCCGTGCGCCCCCACAGAGCGGTGACAAAAACTGACAGACAGACCGGCCGCCGTTGTCATGTGCACAGCTGTGCGCCACACGAACGGTTGAAGTATCTAACGGCAGGGCGGCGGAACACAGTGAATCATAAAGGGTACATGTGTGGCACATACAGTGGCGTATCCAAGGGGGGATCCTGGGGGTCCTAGGATCCCCCCTGGAGCAAAAAAAAAATTTTTTTTTTTACTCGAAAAAAAATGAAAACACTTTGAGGGCCCTTTTCACCACTTACATTTTGTTTACAAATTGAAAAGTATCAATTACATTTTTAGGGACCCTTTTAGGACTATCAGAGGACCCCTTTAGGCCAACGAAGGACCTTGTAGAGTATATTAAGGGCCCTTTACAACGAACAGGACCTTCTCAGGCACACAGAGG